AGTTTATGAGAATTGGATCAATTTGGGTTGGAAATGCAGTAGCTACAACCTTACGGTTTTTCTAATGACCCTTCAGAGAATAAAGGCATCGTTAGATTTACTGAATTGTGGCTGCGTGACATCCACAAAAGCCCACACATTTCCACAGTTACAATAAAGTGGAAGCTGCTGCTAGAATCCTGCAGATTGAGTGATAAATTACTTACTAAAGCGCTGGTCTGGTACTCAGCACTAATGCATACTTTGAATAATCAGTCTGTGGCTTTACCTCTCCTAATCACAGTTACCTCAAGCCCCACTGAAGAACTCAGGCCTCCTCCAGTCTTGCCTCTGTGCATCTTCTCTGCTTCCTTCATCCTACTTTTGGTACCTCCAGTCACTTTGCCTTAAGCTTCAAATTCCCTCTTTAAACCTCTCCACTTCTCTCTTCTTCAAAATGCTCCTTAAATTGCTTTTGCTAGCCTGGCCAAATGTTATTTGGACGATTGGAAATACATTCAGTTAAACCTTTGTACTGTTACCGTTTTTTTGTGCAAATATATTCCTTTCAAGTGCTTTTCGGTATTTCATTATTTTATAGGTGCAAGAGAAATGCTGTTGTTGTTGTCAATGGTGTGGCTAAATGGGAGAGAAGCTCACACACAACTCCTCAAAAACATAACGTATACAAGAATATAGATCATTCTGAAGAGGAGTCAGACAATTCTGGTTCAACTCTGTTCATCTAATGCTGGTCATTGGTGTTCAATTCTGGTCGCCACACTACTAGAAGGATGTGGATGCTTTGGAGAGGGTACTGAAAAGATTTACCAGGATGTTGCCTGGTATGGAGAGAATTAGCTATGAGGAGAGGTTGGAGAAACTTGGGTCATTCTCACTGGAACAACAGAGGTTGAGGGGCGACCTGATAGAGGTCTATAAGATTACGAAGGGCATGGACAGTGTGGACAGTCAGAAGCTTTTTCCAAGGGTGGAAGAGTCAGTTACCAGGGGCCATGGGTTTAAGGTGCAAAGGGCAAGGTTTAAAGGTGATGTACGAGGCAAGTTTTTTTTTTTTTTTTTTTACACAGAGGGTGGTGGGTGCCTGGAACTCGCTGCCGGGGGAGGTAGTGGAAGCAGATACTCTAGTGACTTTTAAAGGGCGTCTTGACAAATATATGGACAGGATGGGAATAGAGGGATACGGTCCCTGATAGGGTAGGGGGTTTTAGTTGTGATGGGCAGCATGTCGGTACAGGCTTGGAGGACCGAAGGGCCTGTTCCTGTGCTGTAATTTTCTTTGTTCTTTGTTCTAAGACTCAAAATGTTAAATGGGTTTCTGTCTCTACAGGTGCTACCAGATCTGCTGAGTTTCTCTAGAACTTACTGCTTTGTTTCAATAACATACCATGCTGGATGATCAGTTGGCTGGACAGCTGGTTTACGATGCAGTGTGACTAACAACATGGGTTCTATTCCTGCACCAGCTGTGGTTACCGTGAAGGACTCCCCTTCTCAACATCACCCTCACCTGAGGCATGGTGACCCTCAGGTTAAACCACCACCAGTCATCTCTCTGTCTCTACTGTGGTCTGCTAGGACTGTGGTGACTTTACTGGTATGAAGCAGCAGACCACTACATTGCACTGGGATCTCCAGACTGGCATTAGGGAAACCAAGGTGTGTACCATTCCCTTAAAGGCCTGGTTTCTCATTTGTAGAAAGATTCAAGCTAACTCAGAATTTCACCTCCTTTGGAAAAACTAATTTCATGTTCACACTATATTCCATTATCATTATGAACAATAAGACCTGATAATGCAGTGAAATTATTGATGAAATTACTCAGCAGTTTCTTAGTCTCCAGAATACACTGGAACAATCACATGGCAATCTATTACTTAACGTACACAAGAGTTTAAATTCTTTAAGAAGGGGTGACATTTTTCTTCTGTTTACTTTTCTTCCTGCTGTCTGATGCAGTTATAGTTCTGGTGCACTATCACAAAGGAAGTGCAGACGTGGAAGAACTGTTACCATATCTTGCTACACAAACCACAGTATCTCCATCAAAATAATGAACAAGGTTGTCAACCATTACTTCCATCCTTTCAGCAGTGTGGGCAATGGTGATAAAGTTAGGACAATATAACAAAATTGGAAATAAAAAGAATGCCAGATCTAGATGTTGAGAAAAAAAAAATTCTGAATTTTCCTCTCAGGTTTAAACACTGAGTTTAGAATCTCAGTCATGAGCGGCAATCACCTTATTTCCATGTATTTGTGTCTGGAAGGGATCACATAGCTGTCCTTTCGGACTATAAACAGGAATGGAAGCCAGGTGCTGGTCCTTAGTTCAAGACTACGAGAGGTTTACAACCGAATAGCAGGCTGTCAGGAAAATTTGTTCCCTTGCTGGTTGAGTTGCAATAGATCATGAAAAACCACAGGATGACAATCAGTGAACTCTTCCCAGTTAAGTCATATCACATCTCAGACCTCGCCTCATTTCTACGCAGCTCCCAGTCCCCCTCTCCTTCCATGAAAAAAAAACTCAATTGCGCCAATACTCGACATGAAAGTCAGAGATAGCTGGTGGCAACAGTCTGTCATTTGCATACCCACCGCCCCCCCTCCTTCGAACAGCTCAGTCTTCACCACCACCTCTCTGCATGCTCCATGGAGATAAAACTGGTGAAACCGCTGGCCTCGCCAAAATCACCATGGTTACTTTCAAACCAACTCACACACCACTTCAGGACCTCATCGTGGAGCTCAGGGACAACTACGACATGCCTGTTTCTGCTAGGCCCCTTGGTATACAGGGGACCGGCCAAATCCTGTACATCTACACAAGATGCACCTTAAGGCTTTTAGCTGACTTGCTTAGAGTTCAGCCCCTTTTGTATTTTCTTGGACGCTGGTAGCGTCTGTGGCCGACATTGCTTTTTCAAGCAGGAGAGGCAGACAGCGTGTCAATTTTTAATGGACGGAACAGTCACGGGGTGGGTGGAGATGGCACTGTGCCATGTCAGTGTCGCTTAGGTTCAGAGTTAGACAGCACAATTGAGGCCCTACGGCCCATCGAGTCTGCACCAAAATAACTAAAGGCGCGTCAATCTCAAGTCCCTGCGCTCGGCCCATGTCCTTGTAAGTTATAATATCTGCAATGCTCATCCAAATATTTTTTTGGAGGTTGTAAGGTTTCCAGCCTCCACTACCTCCCCAGGCAGTGTATTCCAAATTCCCACCACCCTCTGAGTGAAAATGTTTCTTCCCAAATTCCCTCTGAATCTCCTACCCCTTACTCTAAAACTTTGCCCACTCGTGATTCCTCAACCAAGGGGAACAGCTGCTCTCTATTCACCCTGACCATACCCCTCATCATCTTATATGCCTCAATCATGTCCCCCCTTAGTCTTCTCTGCTCTAAAGAAAACAATCCAAGCAAGCCTTTCTAGTCTCTCCTTATTGCTCAATTTCTCCATCTCAGGCAACATCCTGGTGATTCTCCTCTGTAGCTCCTCTAGTGCTATCACATCTTTCCCGTAGTGAGGTGACCAGAGCTGCACACAGTACCCCAGCTGTGGTCTGACCAATGCTCTGTACAACTCCAGCATGACTTCCTTGCTCTTATACTCTACTCCACAACTGTCCCATATGCCTAGCTATTCTATTCATGTGCTCTTCAACTTCAGTCATCTGTGAACAATTACCCCAAGATCCCTCTGTTCCTCTAAGCTACCCAGTGTCTTGCCATTCATTAAATACTCCCTGATCTTGTTTCTTCTTCCAAAGTGCTTCACTCACATGTATCAGGGTTAAATACCATCTTCCACTGGTCTTCCCATTTGACCAACCCATCTATATCTTCCTGTAACCAACAACCATTTCTTCACTATTAACCACTCTAACAATCTTGGTGTCATCTGCAAATTTGTTTAACATTCCCTCCACATTTTCATCTATAATCATTTATGTATATAACAAACAATAAGGGTCCCAGTACTGATCCTAGTGATGTACTGCTGGACACTAACTTCTAGTCACTCAAACAACCTTCTACCACTACCCTTTGTGTCCTATTACTAAGTCAGTTTCTGATCCATCTCACCAGATTTATCTCAAATCCATCTGCTTTAACCTTCTCCAACAGTCTCCCATGTGGGACCTTGTCAAAATCTTTACTAAAATCCAAATAAACTACATCAACTGAACTTCCCTCATCTGTACACATGATCAAGCTTTCAAAAAATTCAAACAAATTTATTAGGCCTGACTTCCCTCTGACAAAGTCATGCTGACTATCCCTAATTAACCCATGCCTTTCCAAGTGGGTATTAATTCGCTCCTTTAGAACCTTTTCCAATAGCTCCCCTACCACTGATGTCTGTAATTTCCTGGTTCATCTCTACCACCCCTCCTAAAAAGTGGAACCACATTAGCTGCTCTCCAGTCCTCTGGCACTTCCCCTTTGGCCAGAGAGAAATTAAATAATTGTGTCGCTGCAATTTCCTGCCTCGCCTCCCACAGCAGCCTGGGATGCTATTCATCTGGGTCAAGGAATCTGTCTGTTTTTAAGCCTGACAGAGCCTCCAATACCTCCCCATTTCCTATGTCAAATTGTCCAAGTTCCTCACAGTCCTTTTTTCTGAATTCCATATCTACGTGCTCCTTAACCAGAGTGAAGACCGAAGAGAAATATTCATTTAACACTCTTCAAATATCCTGCAGCTTCACACACAGGCTGACCCCTTGGTCCCTAACAGGCCCTACTCTTTACCTGGTAAACCTCTTCTGTTTAATGTACTTTTAATATCTCTTAGGATTCTCTCTAATCCTGTTTGTAAGTCCTTTCTTATTCCCCCTTTTTGTTCTTCTAATTGCTTTCTTAAGTTCCCTGTTGCATTTCCTGTATTCCTCTAGGGCCCGCAGCTGAATTGCTCCCTTTGGACTTGCTAAAAGCCCGATGCTTCTTCGTTATCCAGTCCTGAATTGTCCTGGACATCCAGGGTTCTCTGAACTTATTGCTCCTACGTTACCCCTAAAGCATACATGTTGGGCCTGTACTCTGCACAGCTCCTTTTTGAATGGCTCCCATTGCTCCCAGTCTCCTGTGGCCGGATCTTGCTTTATTTTAAGTAAAGCCTGCCTTTCCCCGATCCAAAGCTGTCTCTTGCAGGCCATCTTTTTTCTTGTCCAGAACAAATTTGAACCATATCATGTTGTGGTTGCTATCGCTAAAATATGCCCCCACTACCACATCGAGCACTTGTCTGGCTTCTTTCCCCAGAACCAGATCCAGCCCTTGTTGGACCTCGTAAATATTGATACAAAAACTCCCCTGGATACATTTCAAGAAATCTGCCCCTGCTAAACCCTTAACACGATGGCTGTCCCAATTTATGTTAGGAAGGTTGAAATCCCCCAGTATAATTACCCAACTGTTACTCTTACACACCTCTGACCTGTCTATATATTTGTTCCTCAATGTCCCGCTGACTCTCTGGGGGCCTATATTACACTCCCAATAAAGTGGCTGCCCCCTTAACATTTCTAAGTTGTACCCACAAGGTTTGAGGACCTACCAAGTTATCATCTCTCCTTATTGCAGTAATTGACTCCTTAATTAACAGAGCTACACCACTAGCCTTTTTACAACCTCCTCTGTCTCACCGAAAGATCCTATAGCCTGGAATGTTGATCTGCCAGTGCAGCCCTTCCCTCAACCATGTTTCTGCGATGACAACAATATCATACTTCCATCTGTCAATCACTCATCAGTCATACCTATTATACTCCTAGCACTGAAGACCACTCAGCCTTGCCCTACTCTCTTGACACTCTACATAGCTGAACGCACTCTGACTTGCTTCCTTTGCTGTAACCGGAGGTGTCTCTGTTTCGGAGATATTCTGTGTCCCCTCCCCCTGCCAGACTAGTTTAACCTCCTCCCAACAGCACTAGCAAACCTACCCAAAGTGGTTCTACAGCAGGTGCCAGCAGCATTTGTTTCTAGCAAGTGGTTGTGTCGGAATCAAAAGGGTCAAGTCCTCAGTGGGGTCAAGGGGTTGACAACTAGTCAGGGCCAGGGGAAGGGGCTTCACTATAGTCAGTGAAGGGGTTCATCCAACTGCAGTCCAAGAGGTTGACCATGGTCAGTCAGGCGATAGGTTTGAGCGAGGGAATGCTGCCTGTAGACCTGGCCTGGCTCCCCCTGGTGATCATCAAGCTGCCAGGGAGGTAGCCTGCCACATACAGGCCAGAGCCAGCTCGGGACAGATTTTTATTTTTCATTCATGACGGTGTCACTGCTGGACCAGCATTTATTGCCCATCCCTAATTGCCCAGAGGGTAGTTAAGAGTCAACCACATTGCTGTGGGTCTAGAGTTACATGTAGGCCAGACCACCTACATTCTGTTCACAGGGAAAAAACGACCCTGAGCTTCCAATTGCCTGCCACTCCAACATACCACCCTGTTCCCTGGCCAACATCTCTGTCTTAGGCTTACTGCAGTGTTCCAGCGAAACTCATCACAAGCCGGAAAAACACCTCATTTTCCGCTTGGGGACGCTGCAGCCCTTCAGGCTCAATAACTTTAGGGCTTGAGGCACCTTCTCCTATGTCCTTATCCCCAACCCCACCTTCACACCCACACCCCAGGCCATGTTATCACATGGGCTGCTATTCCTGGCTTACCATTATCCATCCCTCTGTTTGCCTAACTGTCCTTCTGTCCCTCTGGACTCTGACTTTACTTATCCTCTCATTCTTTCCCTCCCCTCGCCTCCCCACCACTTCTTCCTAGGTGCAATCAGTTTCTACGAAAGATCACTGGATTCAAAACGTTAACTCTGCTTTCTTTCCACAGATGCTACTAGACCTGCTGAGTTTCTGTGCCAATTTCTGTTTTCGCTTTGAGTTTACAGTTTCTCGTCATGGAAAGTTTCACTCTGCATCTTTAAGGTATAAATATTTAAACAGAGAACCTTGATTATTTGCTAAAATACAACAGCAATCAGACTGAGAAAGTCTCCAAGCACAACATAGCATCATGCCAAAAGACACAAACAATA